GATCTCGTTGAGGCGACGTTCGAGGCTGTTGATGGAGTTGCGCCGATAGGCTGCACCTCCTGGCGGATCACGTTCGCGATCTGGTCCAGGGTAGGCGGCTGAGGTAGATGCTGTCCTCGCTGTCCTTGTTGTGCGAGCTCTGACGCAGCAATGAGGCTACTTTGGAATTGAACTTGCCGTGTTTGTACTTGGGCATCTGGCTCCCACGTCCACACCGTCCATCTCTCTCAATGGGCTGCTGACACGAGCAGTTTTTGATGCAGGTGGTGCTGGTGAAGAGGTCGGTGAAGCGATGTTGTGTCTCTCCGCCTTGAACAGCTGTTTCACAGGGGTACCTGTCACGCGAGCACCCGAAGAAGACATCGCAGCCCACAGGGGAGGTGTAAGAGAAGACGAAAGTATATAGACAACGCCCGGACACGGGTGTGAACCCCTTGATCCCTTGATCTTGGGCCAAAACGGCTAAAGTGGCCACAGTTGCGCAGTTGGAGCGCACGAAGGTGACGGCAGTTGCGCAGTTGGAAACTCCCAGGAGTGGGAAGCGAGGAAGAAGCGAAGATCGGCAGCGAGCCCAGCGGGGGAGTGAGAGGGGGCAGTACTCTCAGAAGGACGCGGGGCTTCTCAGAAGCCCTTGCGACTTCCGAGACGTATTCTAAGCCTTCTTCGAAGACATAGACGGTTTTTATCAGGTCGGGGGGCTTCTGAGCTCCCTCTCACTTCCCCCCGGGCTCGCCGTCGAGAAGAGGAAACGAAGTGGACGCGGGGAGGCGGCGAGACAGAGGGGAGGTGGGAGGAGGAAGAGGAGGAGAAGCAGGAGGATAAAGCACATTTGTTTCAGTCGAAGCCTGGACCCGACCAAATGAGGGTTGGGGGCTCGCCCGGTACATGCCCAGCCCATCCGGGATGCTTGACAACACCATTTGGCGAGCCAGCCTGCGCAGCAGAACGCGCCCATGTAGGGGAAGCGAGGAGGAAGCGAAGAGGAAGCGAAGTGGAAGCCGGGAAGCGGCGAGACAGAGGTGAGGCGGCGGGAGGAGGAGGAGGATGATGATGATGAGGAGGAGGACGTGGAGGAGGAGGAGGAGGAGGAGGAGGAGGAGGAGGAGGAGGAGGAGGACGTTGAGGAGGAGGAAGAGGAACCTGTGCTTGAGTCGAAGCCAGGACCCAGCCAAATGAGGGCTGGGGAATTACCCAGGTACATGCCCAGCCCATCCGAGGTGCTTGACAGCACCATCTGGTGAGCCAGCCAGGGGCACTGCTCGGTTGGACCTCCCGGAGGGTCACGAACTTGGCGACGTGTGCGCAGTTGGCAGCTCCTAAAGATGGCGATGTCTCAATTGGATCTGTGTAGGACGCCACTACGCTGGACCCCCCAGGGGCTCACGAAAGTGGCGACAACTGCGCAGTTTGCAGCCCCCAGGGAGTCGAGGCCTGGTTTGAATCCCTTTAGGGCGCCCCTCCGCTGGACCTCCCAGGAGCTTATACAAGCGGCGGCAGTTGCGCAGTTGGCAGCCCCCGCGGAGACGGGGTCTAGTTTGGATTCTTCAGGACGTCACTCCGCTGGACCTCCGAGGAGCTCCCGAAAGTGGCGACAGTGGCGCAGTTAGCAGCTCCCAGGGCGACGAGGTCCAGCTTGGATCCCTTCAGGGCGTCACTCCGCTGGACCTCTCACGAGCTCCCGACAGTGGCGACATTTGCGCAATTGTCAGCGTACAGGGAGGCGAGGTAGAGGGCAGGTGGATATACTGTAGGTAAGAAGCGGGCAGGAGGCAGGTATGATGCAGGATGCAGGGGGAGGGAGAAGGAGGAGGAGGAGGAGGAGGAGGATGAGGAGCAGCAGGAGGAGCAGGAGGAGCAGAAGGAGGAGGAGGAGGATGAGGAGGAGGGAGTAAGGAGGGGAGGCAACAGTGTTCCACTCCTTTATCCAAAACGGGAACCCAACACAGGAGGGTTTGGGGAACAGGGAAGGAGGATGGACTTCGAAGGAGAGGGGAGTGGCGGGGAAGGGGGTAAACGTGCTGTGAGCATGGGAATGGAGCTGAAACTAGTGTAGGTGGGAGGGTAGAGGATGAGAGGAGTGAGATGGAGAGGGGATTGGCGGTAGAGGAGGGGCGACTAGAGGGGATGGAGGGAGGTTGAACATGCGGCTGCGCGCTTGTGTCTGCAGTTCTCGCCGCAAGGAGATGACATTGCAGCTGCTGTTCTGGGAGGATTTTTTCAGCGTGGAGAGCGCGCGGAATCTCAAGGACCAGGAACTGTTATTGTGATTTTGGCTTCCCGCTTTATCTGTGTATCTCTCTCTCTCTGTCTCTCGTCCCTCCTCTCTCCTCCTCTCTTCCCTCTTTGCCTTTCCTCTTCTCTATATACTAGCTGGCCGCTCTGCGGTTGTTTGGGAGATTCTGTATATAGAAGAAGGGGCGTGTGCTTGAGGGCGAGAGGAGAATGAGAGTCAATAGGGGTGCGGGGCGTATGGAACTGCGAAATCTAAACTGCACTGTGCGAGACCTGACCGTTCACGTATCCTGCCCCTGCCGCTCCGTTGCTCGCATCCTCTATGTTCCCATGCTCGCATCCTCCACTTTCCCCCTCGATCGTACCTTCGAGCCTTGATCCCTGGGTCCCTGGAGGTCCGTGGATGTTAGCCTGTCTCGTTCTCCTGGTCCATCTAGGAGAACGCTTGCAAACTTGGGCCCCAAACAGTGACCATCCATTTACTTAGGAGGCATCGTTCAGACCTCCAGATCCTCCCGCTCCCATGCTCACAACCTCCACCTCCTCCACACCCTCCCCGGAAATCTCTAGAGCTCGCATGTTCGATTGGCCCTGAACGTTCAGGCATCCAGCCCCTCCCGCTCCCATGCTGGCAATCTCCTCCGCCTCCGCCACATCCTCCAAGGACATCTGCTGCGGTTCCTGGAGGTCGTTCCTCCTCCGCGTCCTCCTCCGCCTCCTCCCCCTCTCCTCCATTCCTGTTCTTCATAATAACTTCTCCCTGTCGCACCTCGAGGCCAGCTTTTTTAGGGCGGGCCAGGCGTTTCGCCTGAGACGTCCTCACCATTTATGACCCTGAATCTAAGACATTAACAACAGCTTCACACATGGAGGGCGGGTGGTTTTCAAAATGCGGCTCTCGCCTTAGCGCTGCGCACATTCGTTTGAAACATTTGCATTGCCGGATTCAGGGCGGATGGTCTTCAAAATGTGGCTCTCGCCGTAAGGCCGCGCACATTCGTTTGAAACATTTGAATTGGTGGATTCAGGGCGGATGGTTTTCAAACTTTGGCTTTCGCCTTAGCGCCGCGCACATTCGTTTTAACAAGTTGCAAGAGTTTCACGGATGGAGAGCGGGTCGTTTTCAAAATGTGGTTTCCGCCTTAGCGCGTGGCTCTGGCCCTAGCACCGCGCACATTCGTTTTCAACATTTGCAAGATTTTCACGGATGTAGGGCGGGCCGTTTTCAAACTGTGTCTCTCGCCTTTAGCGCCGCGCACATTCGGTTTAAACATTTGCAAGAGTTTCACGTGTTCTCATGAACGACGTGTCAGAAATTGTGTTTTGGAAGTATTCAGGATTCTGGGGGTGCAGCAGTTACGCTAACTCGCGGTACTGAAGTCCCAGGAATGGTGTTCTGGGACGGTTCAGGATATTCAAGACGCAACAGTCAGGTTGATCCGTGGCGTTGGAATTCCGAGAACAATGATTTGGTATGCTTCAGGGTCTTCAAACGGTTGTTTTCCAACGAGGCAGTTCCCTCAGTGGAAAGGAACCGTTGTAGGGGCCTATGAGAGGGAGCTTGGAGGGAGGGTTTATTCCAACATCGTTGATGACTCTTGGGTTTAACACTGGTCCTCCTCCTCCTCCTCCTCCTCCTCCTCCTCCTCCTCCTCCTCCTCCTCCTCCCCCTCCTCCCCTCCCCGCCCCCCCCCTCCCCCTCTTCCTGCGGTCACACAATTAGCCGCAACAGTTTCGTGTGTTTTGGCCGCGGACCCACCTCGGTGGGGTCGAGCGTGCTCCTGGTTCGGCCCGTCCCCCAAGGTCCGCGGGCCCCGTCCATGAGCGATTCGGGGTGGGAAGGTTTTGGCAGTGCCCCCGGTGCCTGCGGTCAGTATCGTCTAGAAGACCCCCATCCCCATCCTCATCTCTTTCGAGACCCCCACCACATTGCCACCCCAGTTGGGGATACACCCCTCGAAACCCGAAGGGAACGGCCTATATCCTCATCTAGGGGGGTAAATCGGCCAGTGGGGCCCAGGCCACGCCGCTGGGGATGGGGATCGGTTAAACGATACTCTGCCTTGGCCGCTCAGCTCCACCAGCGGGGCCACCTTCCGCGCCTCCCCGGTCTTGGTACGGTGGGACCGAGGTATCAGATCGAGGTCGGTTCGGGGAGGGTACCCTGATGTTCCTCTGGCTTGCTGGATGCTCTTGTGCACCCAGCAAGCACGACGCTCATGCGGGGATAAACGATGCTCATGCGGGGATCTCGCAGCACCGTCAAGCCGCCAGCAGGGACGTGCTCTCGAGAGCTGACGGTCGAGCCGTCGGCACCGCCAGAGCGAGGGCACCGCTGCAATGGCGGTAGGCTTTCCTGACGGCAGTTTCGCCTGTGCCTGCCGGCGCTGTCACGCTTTTTACTTTCCGAGGTCAGAGCCGAGGTCTTGCGAGCCAACGCCTGGAGCGATCTCCGAAGCGCAGCGAAGTGTGGTCGAGATTGAGCTAGGGACTCCACCCTGACCACGAGAGGAGGACTCTCAGCCGAGCTCGAGACTATCTGCCCCATCTAGACGGGGCCGTTGGCGGTGGATGTCAAACAACTCCCCCCCCCCTCCTCCTCCTCCTCCTCCTCCTCCTCCTCCTCCTCCTCCTCCTCCTCCTCCTCCTCCTCCTCCCTCCTCCATCTACCTCCCTCCTCCCCCCTCCTCCGCCTCTCCTCCTCCTCCATCTCCCTCCCCGTCTCCTCCTCATCCCCTCCCTCCCCTTCCTCCTTCTCCTCCTCCTTCTCCTCCTTCCCCTCCATCACCTCCTCCTCCTCCTCCTCCTCGTCGTCCTCCTCCTCCTTTTTCCTCCTCTTTTCTCCTCCTCCTTCTGCCTTCCCCTCTTTTCTTCCACCCCCTTTCACCTCCTCCTCCTCCTCCTCCTCCTCACTCTTCCTCCTCCTACCCCTCCTCCTCCTCCCCCTCTTTTTCCTCCTCTTCCTCCTCCTCCTCCTCCTCCTCCTCCTCCTCCTCCTCGTCCTCCTCCTTCTCCTCCTGCCCTCCTCCCTCCTCCTCCGCTCCTCCGCTTCCTAGGTCTTCCTCCCTGCTCATCCTCATCATCGGAGGCCTCCCTCGGGAGGCGATTTGGTGACTTTGCGAGGGTGCCTCGAGCCTGAGCCCCAGATCGGGACACGCCCGGGTCGACTTTTGCGAGGACGTCTCGAGCGAGAGCTCCAGGCTGGGCCATTCCTGGAGCGCCCCGGCGCGCGTTGGCAGATCCCCAGAGAGGGTCCGTGGGGGCGCTGTGAAGCCTGACTTTCTCGCGTGCCGGGTGTCGACTTTGGGAGGATGTCTCGAGAGAGCCCTCGTCTGAGGGCCGCGGGGGGCAAGTTTTCTGAGGGTCGAGACTCGGGGGGGTGGTTTTCCGAGGATGTTCCACGCTAGGGCGCTGGTTCGGAATTCGTCGCCAGTTTTGCTTGATATCCCAGAAAAGGCACAAGGGGGGCCTCGGAAGGGAACTTCATCAAGCACTTGAGGAAAGTCAATGGTCTGGGGCCCCTCGGGCTCTCCAGGAAGGCCTGGTGGAGCTCTCTCGGGCTGTCTTGGGGGCCTCTTGGGCCGTCTTGAGGCCCTCTTGGGTTATCTTGGGCCGTCTTGAGGCTCTCTTGAAAGGCCCTCGAGCTACCTTGGGCCATTTTGAGCAGTTTTATTGTCGTCTTGGCTGTCTTGGAAGTCGTCTTGGAGATCATCTTGGCCGTCTGGAGGCCGAACATACCGCCAGAAAGCAATTTCAGAAAGTGGCGGTTTTCGAGAGGCGCGCGAGCGAGGGAGGGGGGTGCACGCTGGCGGATATCTGCGCTTGCTTGCCCGCTTGCAGTAACCAGCACTTGCACCACTACGGTCGTGCCGAGGTACAAGATCGAGGTCGGCTCGGGGATGGTACCCTGATGTTCTTCGCGCTTGTTGGTTGGTTGTTCTTCTGCATCCTGGGGGAGGGTGCCCTCGAATGTTCTTCAGCTTGCCTGGCGGATGGTCTCATGCTCTTGCAGGATGCTCTTCTGTCAGGCGATCGCAAACATGGATCAACGGGGGCGTGGATTAGCGACGGGTCCCGTTTCCATGGGAAATCGCGGATTTCCGCCGCTGGACGAGGCGGCACCGGCCGCATTTTGGCGAGGGCACCTCCCCCCATCCATGGATTTGACGGCCGCGCGCCAAATCCATGGATCGCTAATCCATGTTTGCGCGCCCCGGATTCTGTCCTCGGGTCCAGCTTTCTGCACCCAGGCCACCCCACGGGGCACGAAGAGAGAGCCTCGTCTTTCGCTCGTCGCGGCCGGTGCCGCTCAGCCCGTCTCCTGCCAGAGTGGGAGGCGCGAAGGCGCGGAGAGGCCTGCGCCTCCGGCGCGCCGCGGGCTGCGATGCGCGAAGCTCTGGTGGCCCAGGTGCGCCCTGGCCTGAATTACAGGGGGGCCCATGCCAAGAAACACCCTGCTTGCCTCCAGAGTGCTCTGGGTTTCTTGGGTTTCGATGGCTTCGCCATGGGAAGCATGACGTTCCCACACCAAGCATCGATGGACGTCCTGGGGTCTCAGGGTTGGGTTTCTTGCGGAAGGTTTCTCGTGGATCGGCCCCCATTATTGTAGGCGGCCTACGTAGGCCGCCCTTGTTCCTGCAACCGCGCGCTTTCGGGCTCCTCCCTGCCCGCTCCTCCCGTCGTCTCCCGGGGCTCGGCGAGTCGCTCCTCCGCACCCTTGTCCTGTGCTTTCATGTTGGCATGGCCTTCCAGTTCCTCCCCCTATATCCCCTCCTTCCGCTTCCCCCGCGCGCCCCCCCCCCCGTCTTCCCCCCTCCCTCCTTCCCATTCCCTCCCCTCCTTTCTCTCCTCCCCCCAGCTCGCTGTGCTGTTCTCCGCCATGAGCCAGAAGCAGGACTGCCTGGCAATGCCGCTGCCGGAGATACCAGCCATGAGCCAGAAGCAGGACTGCTCGGCGAGGGTTTGTGAGTTGGAGGGGCTGCCAGCGGGAAGGGGAAGGGGAGACCGAAGGCAAGCGCGAGGCGAGGCGACGGGAGGGAGGGGGTGAGCGAAGGGGGAGACGGATTTGTGGGGCGGTGGGGGAGGCGGGGAGGGGGGAGGAAGGGAGGACAGGAGGACAGGGGGTGAGGTTCGAGTGGGTGGGTCGGAGATCGTGTAGATGGTGATGAGGGCAGGGGAAGGCGAGGAGGAGGGCGAGGGCGAGGTGAGGCGAAGCGGGGGGTGGGGGTGGGGGGATGGGGCGATACTCCTCCAGGTCCTCCTTCCCATCCTTGCTCCCCCGCCTGCGCCTTTCGTTCTCCCAGTACGCTGAGATGTCCGAGTGGAGCGATAAGACGGACTACAGTAAGTTCAAGCCTGGGCAGATACACGTCTTGTTCGCCGAGGAATCCCTTTCTGCTTCAGCGGCGGCTTTGGCAGTGTGCAACGTGAGGCGAAGGAATGAAGATGGTGGTGCTGCTGCTGATGCTGCTGCTGATGATGATGAGGAGGAGGATCAGGAGCAGGAGCATCAATAGCAGTCGAAGGGAGCATGGACGCTGCAGCAGGAGGTGGCGGAATAGGAGCATGGCGATGAGTGGCGATGCGCGGAACGGTGGCTGAGACCGACGAGGATGACCTGTGTGGCCTGGGCGCCTGCCATGGGCCGCGCCTGAGCTTTCAGCCAGTTAAGGTGAGCGGCTCCCAGCAAACCAAGCAGAGGCCCGACGACAGGAGCTTTTTTTGTCACAATACTCTTTCGACGTCTTCGTCGATTGTTAGATCATCGTCGTTGTCCTCCGCCTTAACGTTTACCATCCTCTTCCCGCCCTCCATCTCATTCTTCTGTGCCTCCGTCACTTTCTACTTTCGTTTGTCTTCCTTGTTTCGCACTTGCCCAAACTTCTTCTTCTTGGTGCTGAAGCCAGAAGGTAACGTATGTCCAGCCCACGAATTCTGTCAGCAGCAGTTGATGTCATCACGTTTAGTCAGAGTGAGCGGGCTGAACCGAACGGTCGTTCGCTGTCCCTGGGTGCGTGGCTGAAGTGGAATTCGGCGATGCGGATTCTTGTTGTTGCTGCTGCTGTTGTTGTTGTTGTTGTTGTAGTTGTCGTTGTTGTTGGTTGTTGTTGTTGCTGTTGTTGTGTTTGTTGTTTGTTGTTTGTTGTTTGTTGTTTGTTGTTTGTTGTTGTTTGTTGTTTGTTGTTGTCGTCGTCCCACCCGCGACCCGCCCCGCGACCCGCCCCGCGACCCACCCCGCGACCCACCCGCGACCCACCCGCGACCCACCCGCGACCCACCCCGCGACCCACCCCGCGCACCACCACGAGACCCCCCCGGCGACCCACCCGCGACCCACCGGCGACCCACCCGCGACCCACCGGCGACCCACCCGCGACCCACCGCGACCCACTTGCGACCCACCCGCGACCCACCCCGCGCACCACCCAAAATGTTCGGCACCTGCGGCGGGTTCCTTTTGCATTCGTTCCAGGTGGAGAACCTGCGACCCACCCGCGACCCAAGCCGCGCCCGCGACCCACCGCGACCCACCGCGACCCACCCGCGACCCACCCTGCGACCCACCCAAAATTTTCGGCGCTTGCGGCGGGCTTCTTCAGGTGAAGAACCTGCGACCACCCGCGCGTCCCAAAACCGCGTTCAGTGTACGAATCAAAATGTTTCGGGCGCCTGCGGTGGTCGTTTTTGAATTCCTTCCTGGTGGAGGTGGAGAGCTCGCGACCTACCCCGTCTACCCCGCGACCCAAACTACGTTCACATGAACAAGATCCAAAACTTCGCGCCTGCGCGGGTTTCTTTTGCATTCGTTCCAGGTGGAGACACCTGCGACCCCAAACCGCGTTCAGTGTACAAATCAAACTGTTCGGCGCCTGCGGCGGGCTGTTTTTGAATTCCTTCCACTCCCGCGCCCGCGTCGCCCGCGCCCGTCCCCTCACTCTTATCCGCAATTGCGGGGTGCTACGATGAGATCTGATATTGAGTGCAGACGTTGTGGGTATGGTTTCTCTGTCGGGGAGGACAAGGCGCGCACGCACCTCGTCTGGAAGGTGAATCATCCCTGCTAGAGCCCTGTGACTGATCGCAGCAGCCGAAGACACGGGATAGGAGGTGGGAGAAGTGGAACGTGGAGGCGAACGAACTGAATGCTTCAAATATGGAGCTAGCAGCTCCCAGATATCGTTGAAGATAGCACGGTCCTGTTTCAGGTTTTGGGCAGAAGGATTCCTGGTGCCGCAGAAGCGACATATCCAACGCCCTGTCACTATCCTTCTCTCCATCCTTGTCATCGATTTTACCATTCTTTGTCATTTCGTGTATGTACTGGTAGTCGCCCCGGTCATCTTCACCGCTTCATTGCTCGCTGCGGCGCCTTCTCTACGGCCGGGTAACCCCAGTCAATGGACGGCCTCAATGTGTGGTTTCTCATGCTGCCATGTTGTTATTTGCGTGATCTTCATTTGCCACCGTCCTCGTCCTTGTCCCCGTCCTTCTCCCCGTCCCCGTCCCCATACTTCAAGGAGACTGTTTTGGTTCAATCCGCGTGCTCCAGAGGCATCAACCCTCCCCAGGGATAGTGATTCGTCCTGGATCTAGGTTTGACTGTAACGGAGCCCAGGAACGGCCCCAGAGACAGATGTCGGGGGAAATAATCCCAGGATCGAGCAAATCCCCGTTCTCGAGCAAATCCCCGTGCACGTGTGCAGTTTTCCTCGGCGAGCACCGTGGAGGAGCGTCTCTGATCAACTTGCGAGAAGAAGACGAACGAAGCCGAAACGTAGACGGGGAAGGGACGCCCCAGCGATGGCAGGTCCTCCGCCTCCTCTTGCAGGCTCGGGCCGCGCCTCTTCGCCCGGCGCCGCGTGAGATGACCCCAGCCCTGCCCTCGCGATGTGGGGCGTTTGCCTGCCGAGCAGCCTCGTCACTTCGGGCCTCCTTCGGGCGGGGCGAGGACGAGGATGCGCCCGTTCCAGAACGTTCCAGAATGCTCTCGGAGCGTTCCGGATCGCTCTGAAAAGGCGGCGGCGCCCGAGACACCCTCCTGAGCTGCCAGATATCTCGGAGATTCTCGATTTATCCTCACCCGAAATTCTCCTCGTCCTGGCTTCGTCTGACTCCTCCGTCGCGAACCAGGACCGATCCAGGCCAACACAAGCACAGCAGCTCGAACTTCTTGCGACGGCTATCAGCTGCTGGGAACACCAGATACTGATTACAACGTGAGTCCGCCTGCATATCATGTTTTTGCGGCCACGGCCTCCACGAGCGGGCTTCCCAAGGGAGCGCGCACGACTCCAGCGCTCGCTTCGCTTCCCTTGGCTTGCCTCTTCTTAGTTCCCCTCTTCCTGTCGGCCTGTGGCCATCTGTGAGGAAGAGGGATTCAGCATGAGGAGGCGGGGTGGGGGAGATATGCAGGAGAACGAGGCAGAGGAGGATGATAAGGACGCGGGGATGGTAGCGGGAGGGAGAGGGGAACTGCGAAGGAGGAGCGGGAGAGAGAATAGCAGGAGATCAGGACAGGCGACGGATGAAAAGGATGACGTGAGGGATGAGGCAAGAGAGGGAGGATGGGGAGGAGGGGGAGTTAGCGGCATTGAAAGCTGGAAGTTGATCCCTGGCGCCCTGCCAGGGCTCTTGTGGACTGCTTGGAGGACGGCACCGCTGTGGAGTACTCCTACAGGCTGCGGCAGCTCTTCGGGCACGCATCTAGCAACAGCAGCGGGGAGGTCGTTAGCAGCAGGGCCCTCAATCATGAGACTGGGCGCTAGCGTTACACGTCTGTGCACATGTGGAAGCGAGATGTGGAAGCGTGGTGGAAGCATTTGTAATTGGAGTTCAGGGGATGTGGAAGCGAGATGTGCGCGTGAAGCCGTGCCCGAAGTCCCCAAGTCGTTGGGGGATATGGCCAGTCGCCGAGCCACGTCGTGGACCTGCCCTGTGCTCAGTTCGTGATGATTCGCGCATCCCCACCATCTACCATCCCAGATAGAAGGATGATGATGATGCTGCTGCTGCTGATGATGATGATGATGATGATGATGATGCTGATGCTGATGATGATGATGATGATGATGATGATGATGATGATGATGATGATGATGATGAGGATGAGGATGAGGATGAGGATAAGAGAGGAGGAGGAGGATGAGGAGAGGTAGGAGGAGGAGGAGGAGGAGGAAGAAGAGGAGGAGGAGGAGAGGAGGAGGAGGAGGAGGAGGAGTTGCCAGGGGAGTTGCCCCAATAAGGGATGTGCCGGAGCATCCAGTGGATCGGGTAGGCGAAGCAGCCGTCGAGCCCAGGCTCGGAATCAGTCTGGGCACACCCATGAGTGGAACTGATGAGCCTGTCGTCGAAGGAGGGGGCCGCGGGGGGCCTCCTCGGAGCCTCTTGGGGTCCTCGTGTGGCCTCCCGGGCGCCTCGCTTGGGGCCTTCTGGGGCACTCCTTGGCGCCTTGGGGGCCATCTTGGGGCCATGTAGGAGGAGATCGATCAAAGAGGGGGCGGGGGGGCAAATTGCACTTCCCCCCATGAGGCCAAAATGAGCCCCAAACCGAAGTCACATCAGTGATGTTTGCCGCCTCCTCGACGAGGCCGTGTTGGACGCTCCAATGGGTCGCGAACCCTGCCGTCCAGGTCCAGGGGGAGAGTGTAAGGGGAGGGGTCACTCTACCCGCCCGCCCGCAAGCCGTCTAGCTCACTCCCACCCGCCCTCCCTACAAATAAGTAACACCGAGCCTGAGCATGTTCAGCGGTCGTCTTTGGATGGACAGCTACCGGGAACCAACGCCGACTCCAGGTGCGCGACGCTCGGGCGAGGTGCGCCACGCGTGCCAGGGGCGCCACGTGCGCCAGGCACCCCTGGGTCCCGAGCGTGCCAGGCACGCCTGGTGCGCCAGATGTGCCACGTGCTCCGAGAGCGCCAGATGTGCCGCACACTCAGCCGCGCCAGGTGCGCTGCGTTCGGGGCACGTGCAGAGTGCGTCAGGTGCGCCTGCGCACGTGACAGCACACATCGGGAAACATGTCGGTCCCCGCCATCCTTGTCGAAAACCGATGCCCATCATTGTGTCTGGTGGGCCTGCGCACAGCAGGCCACGCGCCACCACCCCCGCCGTCCCTGGCAAAGACCACTTGACAGTGATCGCGGGATGGCCGCGCATGATCCAGATTTAGCCGCGAGGTGCATGTTGTAGCGTTTTTTTGTCAGGGATGTCTGCCCTGCGCGCAGCAGGGAATATGCTAACACCCTCGCCGTCCTTGTCAAAAACAATACAAAGTGCTCGCGGGCCTCACGAACATGACTCAAGACTTTGTCCCAAAGTGTACATTGCGTTGTTTTGTTGACAGGGATGGTGGGGGGGGGGCGCATCGGGTTGGCCGCGCATGCTCCAAATGTGGAGGCAGACTGCGGTCTGTATTGTTTTTTGACAGGGATGGTGGGGGGCGGGTCGGCATGGTGTCGGCAGGGTGTCGGCATGGTGTCGGGTTGGCCCCGGGTCGCCTGGGGGAGGGGGGTGTATATCAATAAGGAACAATGACATTCACCCCTTCCCGAAGGGTAAGAGGGACGATGGAAGAGGAAATGCTCTAAACCACCCACGCCCAGCGGGCTGGTGGGATTCATCATCATCACTCGCCCGCCCGACTCATGGAGCTGCATGATGAGGGTCCTCGATTCATTGCGCACACTTGGGTATTCAAACAAGTTGCGAGCGGGCGGGGGGATGTTTGCCCGAGCGTTGGAATTGTCGATCTCAGTATTCCTGAAGTTATCTGCACCACACACACATATATACATATATATATATATAGGCCACACAGGTTGCACGATACGTGCATGCCACCACACATATTGCACGTGGAGTGCAATCGTCCATAGCTTGGTGCCCACGCTGGCCAACATACAGGCAACACCCGATGCATAGCATGGGCTCCAGGGAATGCCACGTCGTCGCTGGAGGCACGGCGACTGGAAATGTCTCAAGCGCAAGGGGTAAGGACACATATCGGCCACGCGCAGAGGGCGGTGGGGGAGGGGGGAGGGCTTCTTAGAAGCACCCCTGCTTCTCAGAAGGCGCGGGCCTCATCTATAGATGTAAGGCTGGAACCTTCCAAGAAGCAGCCTCCTTCTAAGGACCCCTCCCCCCTCCCTCCACCCCCTGGTGCGCACCGCCAGACACAGGAGGTGGAACGGCGAGGAGGAGGGGGTCGCTGCAAAACAGGGAGGGCTGCGGCAGCGGTGGAGTCCCCACGGCGCCCCCCCCCCTGGAGAAGTGGACCCCGCGAGGGAATTCCACTCCATGTGCAAGGACTTGTGCAGCGTGCTGACGTTGGGGCCCTAGCCGCGGATCGTCGCCGTGCTTTCGGCGAGAGTGCTGCTTACAAGCACGGTGGACCGCGCTACCCCAAACCCTGTGTTTTTTTAGCGATCGGGGTCCTCAAGATGTGGGGACGCGTGACCGCACGCCCGTGAAGCATCGCTGGCCCGTTCGGCTTTGCGCTCCGCCAGCGGCTACTTCGTGTATTCCACGCGCTGCTGGTGCCAGTTGGTCCAATTCGTTCTCACCATTCCGCATCACACGGAGCCGTGTTACGTTAAACCACGGACGCAATGGGGCACTGCCAGTTTTTGAACTCGAAATGGGGGAGGCACGGTGGGCCCCCATGGTGGAAACTTGCACGCAGATTTTGCAAGCATTGGCTGTTGGGGATACTGCCTCGACGTTGGTCGGTACCATTCGTTGCAATGTTTCTTGGGGGTCATATGGGCGTTCCCTGGGGGTTCGGACACCCTCTTGGGTGTGCCAGGGGAGTCTGAGACAAGAAATGCGTGAGTGGTGTGCAGAACTGAAGATTTCGTGGCCCTGCGATGGCAACCCACCCGTATCGTTGCGCGCCCCAGGGTCATGTCAGACAGGATATGCGTGAGGGGTGCGCCTAGCCGAGGCTTTCGTAGCTCCCTGGGCGCGGAACACACATTTACGTGCCCCAGGAGCTGTGCTGCAGCTTTTTACCTAACAGCTTTTGCTGATAGGTTTCTAGTGGTCTCAAAAGAGAGCAGCAGATGACTCCACAGGGGGGTCGGGGCGGGACCCGGACAGGCTGCCGCCGCGGCTGCCGCCGAAGCCGAAATCGCTTGGGACATCTTCGCAAAATCGCTCTTGGTGCTCCCAGAACTCCATTCCCGGGCCACATTTTGGATGCCCGGAGCCAACTGTAGGCCACTTCGTGCTCTTCGACTTCCCAGAACTCCATTCCCGGGCCACATTTTGGATGCCCGGAGCCAACTGTAGGCCACTTCGTGCTCTTCGATTTCCCAGAACTCCATTCCCGGGCCACATTTTGGATGCCCGGAGCCAACTGTAGGCCACTTCGTGCTCTTCAAGTTCCCAGAACTCCATTCCTGGGCATGATTTTGAATGCCCGGAGCCAACTGTAGGCCACTTCGTGTTCTTCTAGTTCCCAGAACTCCATTCCTGGGCCACATTTTGAATGCTGAGGCAGGCTGATGCTGCGGCCGAGGCAGGCTGAGGCTGAGGCAGGCTGAGGCTGAGGCCGAGGCTGAAGGCAGACTGAGGCTGAGGCTGAAGCAGACTGAGGCTGAGGCTGAGGCAGGCTGAGGCTGAGGCTGAAGCAGGCGGATGCTGAGGCAGGCTGAGGCTGAGGCTGAGGCTGATGCAGGCTGAGGCTGAGGCAGGCTGAGGCTGAGGCCGAGGCTGAAGGCAGACTGAGGCTGAGGCCGAAGCAGCCTGAGGCTGCGGCTGAGGCAGGCTGAGGCTGAGGCTGAGGCAGGCTGAGGCTGAGGCAGGCTGAGGCTGAGGCTGAGGCAGGCTGAGGCTGTGACTGCGACTGCCGTTGCCGCTGCGACTGTCATCGCGAATGCGACTACGACTGCGAGAACAGCAGAATTCGACAACTGGATTTTCATCTGAATCTTAAGGGGAATGCTTTCAGATATGCTTCTACACATCGCTGTTAGGTTGCTTTGCCGGGATAATTACTGCTGAATGTGCTAAGCCGTTCTGAGCATACATTTCTGCATGCAATCTCGCTCTCCTCAATCCTCCACCTCACCATCTTCCCTTGGCGTTCAGCACGGCGAGGTCCTCAAGAGACGAAGACGCGTGAGCGCAAGCCCACTAAGCATGGCTGGCCCGTTCGGCTTCGTGCTCCGCCAACTACTACTTCGTGCGTTCCACGCGATGGTACCAGTTCACACATTTTGTTCTTACCATTTCGCATCATAGGAAGACGTGCTACACTCAAACACGGAAGCAATGGGCCGCTGCCAGTCTATTGAGCCCGCAGAGCGGGAATCATTGCGTGCCCCCAGGGGAAAGCTTGCACGCAGATTTTGCAAGCATTTGGGTGTTGGGGCTACTGCCTCGAAGTCGTTGGTCGGTTCCATTCGTTGCAATGTTTCTTGGGGCCATGTTGGCGTTCCCCGGGGGTTCCGGCAGCCTCTTGGGTGTGCCAGGGGAGTGTGAGACAAGACATGCCTGAGTGGTGTGCAGAACTGAAGATTTCGTGGCCTTGCGAGGGCAGCTCGCCCGTACTTTTTGCGCGCCCCAGGGTAATTCCAGGCAGGAAGAACGCGAGGGGAGTGCCGAAAAGAGACATTCGTAGCCCTCTGGGCGCGGAATCACATTTTTTGTACGCGCCCCAGGAGCTGTGATGCAGCCTTTTACTGCTGAGTGCACGAAGCCGTTCTTAGCATACATTGGTGCATGCAATCCCACTCTCCTCAATCATCCTCCACCTCATCATCTTCCCTGGGAGTTCAGCACGGCGAGGTCCTTAAGAGATGAAGACGCGTGAACGCAAGCCCGTTAAGCATGGCTGGCCCGTTCGGCTTCGTGCTCCGCCAACTACTACTTCGCGCGTTCCTCGACGACGTTGGTTGGTTCCATTCGTTGCAATGTCTCTTGGGGCCATGTTGGGGTTCCATGGGGGGTCCGACCGCCTCTTGGGTGTGCCAGGGGAGTCTGAGACAAGAGATTTCGTGGCCTTGCCAGGGCAACCCACCAGTATTTTTGCGCGGCCCAGGGTAGTATCAGACAGGAAGAACGCGTAGCCCTAGGGGCGCGGATAGCACATCTTTTTACCTGCCCCAGGAACCGTGGTGCAGCCCTTCACTGCGGAATGCGCGAAGCCGCTTTCAGCATGCATGTATGCATGCCATCCCACACGCCTCCATCATCTTCCGTCTCATCATCTTCTCTCCAAGTTCAACGCGGCGAGGGCCCGCATGGGGATCCGCCGAAGTCAATCGCTTCGTTCATTCTGCCGGCCCATACTGTACGAAGTGTGTAGTGGCCTTCGGTCAGACTCGGCCATGGACAACTGGCCTATTTCGGAGGCTTATTTGGGGTCTATTGAGAGGCTTCTCGGCAGCCTCGTGACGGCATTTTTGGGACCCGTTGGGGGCCCCCTCGGGGCCTGCATGGAGACTTGCGTCTAACGTGTGCTCCGCACCCGTCTGTCTTTACGAGAGAATCGAATCCTTTGATTGGGCGGGTTCTGCCCCCAGATTCCTGCATGGTGTGGCCAGGACGGCGGCGAGACCGCCGACGACAGGCTCGGATGACGACCAGTTCGAGGAGTCCAGTGAGCAGGCGATCGACAGAGTGACGTGGACGTGGCGGAAGAACCCCGCAGGTGAGAAACACTTCAATCAGTGCCCAGACGACGGCAGGTCAAGGTCGACAGCTTTGAGACATTCGTCCGGAAGCGAAGGTGGACACGTTCAGCGGAGATCGAGTGACGTTCGAGCTATGGCCCTTCCTGTTCGTGAGTTACTCCCGCCTGCTAGGGTTGGGCCAGATCGTGAATCGAGCAAGGGTTCAGGTGTACCCCATCACATGCGAGAGCCTGGGCGAGGAGGCTCAGGCGATAAATGGCGACCTGGTCTGCTTTTTCTCGCGCCGACGGTGAGACGTCCAGCTTGCTCAGTTGCAAAGTTGGTCTCGAGAGGGGGCGGTCTCGAGGCAGGGCGTTGTCTGTACAAGGGAAACCGAACGGGCTTGGGGGAGGATCGCGCCCAGATACTTTCGATGTTGCTGACCCTGGCGTGTGACGTGACCCGGATCGTGCCCACCAGAGCTTCGCAAATATTTTGCTGGCCTGGGACCCTGTGACGGCGCACTACGAGCTTGTCACTGGAGAGCGCGTGACGGACGAGATGAAAGTTGCGACCGTGCTAGCGCACGCCCCTGGCCTGGTCAAGGACTTGCTCCACGCTTCGACGAGAGACGTCCGGCTGAGCTACGTGACTCCTGGGCAACTCATATGGGAAACCGTGTTGACCAGAGGCATCATCACAATGGGCTCAGGAGGTCCGCGCCCGATTAGGATCAACGGGACCCCCAAAGGCGGCTGCGAGAGCGATTCAAGCAAAGGAGAAGGCACATGCAAGTGCGAGGTGTGCGTCAAGTCAGGACACGGCAAGGCTTAGTGTTGGTGGCGGTCAGGTAATGGCAAAGGTCTGATTCCAAAGGACCAGTCAATACGGGCCAGTTCGCGGGAAAGTGCCGCGGCTGCGGCATGGCAGGTCGGCTGATCGAGAGCGCATCCAGAAGGATTTGGGGGGTCAAGACAGACGCGCGCCAGGCAGCCGGGAAGGGCGGGCGCGTTTCGGGGATCGAGTTCGGCATGGGAAGCGACTGCGACAAGGACGAGTGCCAGTGCTGTGATGACGCTTCTGCCTGATGGCCGCCTTGATTGCGGATCTAGGCTAAGGCGCGCCCGGAGCGACGGGTAGGGCGGGCGCCGACGATGGCGTGTTGTGGGGCCCGAGCCCGCAGATCGGCCAGTGCTGCGCGCTGCAGGGCCCCAAGAAGGTCCTCGCGGCGATCGACTCGGTGGCGGGCGCTCGCTGCTGCCCGAAAAGTTTCCTGACGTGTCAGGCCCTGCGTGGATCGCTGCGCGGGCCGGTGCGGCGCGACGCTCAGCAGCGGAAGATTCTTGGTGCTGTGACGGCGCCCGAGGCGGTGGCGGCGCTTGGGGAGGCGGCGCCAGCGCCTGAGGCCGCTGAGTCAGTCCTGCACCCCGAGGGTCGCGCGGTCGACCTGCAGAGGCGGCTGTAGGTGCTCAGCCAGCCCTACTGCCGAACGCAGGCGCGGTTCAGGACGCGTCTCGGAAGCTGAGAAGCAGGCGACCAAATCCGCGGGGACAGGCCGAGGGAGTTCGAGCGGGGGCATGGCGGAGCCGTCGCTGGAGCTGGGCCGATCGGCCCTCGAGTCGCGCCGGCGCCGCAGGGGCTGACGCCAGAATGGCGAGCAGCGCGCGAGGTGTTGCGCATCCCGCCTGCGGAGTGGCGCGCGGCGCGCC